GCTGGACATAAGGAAGAACTTCTTTACTGTCCGAGCCCCCAAGGTCTGGAACAGCCTGCCACCGGAGGTGGTTCAAGCGCCTTCATTGAACACCTTCAAGATGAAACTGGATGCTTATCTTGCTGGGATCCTATGACCCCAGCTGACTTCCTGCCCTTTGGGCGGGGGGCTGGACTCGATCTTCCGAGGTCCCTTCCAGCCCTGATGTCTATGAAATCTATATTGCCCCATATTGGCAGCTGGCCTTCTGGAGTTGATTTATTGCATGTGGAAATGCCAACATTGATTTCACACTTCATATGACTTAATATTAAACTGCAAGAAAGTAACTATGGGCATATCCTTGAGGAAAAAAAACATAGTTTACAGGTACCATAACAATATCCGCATCTGGATATTTCAGATATCAATAGATAAAGTTGATTTTCATATTGTATGGCTTAGGGTACTGTCTCCTCCAGTCCTTAATGTTAAATCCAGTATCTTGAGTACCACTGAAGCTACCACATATATTTTGCATCATATTCTTAATTAATTTTAACTGAAAAGTTTTTTATAGTTTTATATTATTTATTAAACTATTTTAATGTACAGTTCATTCAAAAAGAGTACACAACAGATGGCCATTATTTTTTATTTTGAATAGCAAATATATCTGGGGGTTTTTTTCTCCCTCAGTTTGGCAGACAGCTCTGATACTTCATATTTTCAAACTATTGTTTGGAATCTATCCACAAAGCTCCCACTAAAGTCATTGTTGAGACTCCCAAGTAGAAATGTTTCATTTTGATTCACTGAATTCACCTCAAATGCTCACTTAAAGTCAATTCAGAATTAAACTCTATTTTCTTCTTGTGGTTTCGAAGCCTGATGCCCATCCTGTCTACCATTCTTTTCTCTGGGTCAGGATTTCCTGGGTACACTGCATTTCCCATGATGCACATAGGGCACATTTACACCTAAAATTAGTGTACCTGAATAAACTCTGGCACAGTTATCAGTGGAATTTGTTGCTCCCAGGTGCAGTATGTTCGTGTGTGCCTGGGACCTCAGTACACTGAGCTAGGGTAGAGACCTAGGGGGTCAGCTTGCCAGCCTGGGTTGCTTCACCTTGGCTCAATGTGTTGCAGAGAGGCTGGCTGGGGTATAAGTGTGCTCTAGTGTAGGGGTAGCTGGCAGGCAGCCCCCACATTGGAGCGCCCTCATACCCCAACTAGCCCTGGTCACTGTCTGAACATGCGTGAGCAAGCTACATGTGTTTGTCCAGCTCCTCCTGGTTCCTGGTGTGCTGGAGCAGCCCAGGCACAAATGGAGGAGTGGAAACACTCTGATAGTCAGCCAAAGTATCTTCCTGGAGGACCAAGTTTCCATTTGTTCTGGCACACAGTATTGTGGCGTGCCACTTTTTTTTTTTTTTTTTTTTTTTGCGTGGGGGTTTTTTTTTTTTTTTTTGGGGGGGGGGGGGGGGGGG